TGGTGAGAAGAAGAGTGGATCTCCGCTCGGACACTGTAACAAAACCAACCGAGAGCATGCGTGCGGCCATGGCCAGTGCCGAGGTGGACGACGACGTATTAGGCAACGATCCGACAGCCGCTCGTCTGGAAAAACGGATGGCGGGGATAATGGGCAAGGAGGCGGCTTTATTTGTGCCCTCGGGCACTATGGCAAACCTAATATGTGTTCTCACGCATTGCCAGATGAGGGGCAGTGAGGTCATTCTCGGAGATTACTCTCATATTCATATCTATGAAAACGGAGGCATCTCTACTATAGGGGGCGTTCATCCGAGGACTGTCGAGAACAACGACGACGGGACAATGGACATTGACCTTATTGAAGGAGCTATAAGAGATCCTAGCTTCGAGATATGTTATCCCACTACAAGGCTCATTTGCTTGGAGAATTCACATGCACAGTGAGTAAGCCTATTCAATATTTTATGCCATTGCCATCAGTTTACATTCTTTTTGTTGGCTATGTTGGGTACAGTTCTGGTGGAAGATGCCTGTCTGCTGAGTACACAGACCGAGTTGGAGAGCTAGCAAAGAAGTATGGGTTAAAGCTTCACATTGATGGGGCTCGCATCTTTAATGCATCTGTGGTGAGCAAATTAGGTTGGGCTTTGTTCTGTTTCTTGAGCTGTCTCGTGCTTATCTTGGTAGTTTTCTTACATTTGGTCACATGAGTGAGTTCTCGATGGACATTACTAGGACATATTTGATGTTGTGTGGGATGAATTGTCGACACACGTGTGCTTTAACGAAAGATTTTCATTTTCGATCAACCTCGTCAGAGTTCCAATGCTGTCTTCTGCCAGCCTCTGTGTCCTAACTCTGTTCTTTAACTAAATGTGAAGAAAAAATTGATGTTGAAGCTGCATCGAGGGCAATTAGGGTCATAAATTTTACTCGTTACAAACTTTATTCTGCTAAGATTCTCGTGGAAGCTGTATTGGTGATATACATAATCTATTATACAAAACTTTGATGATTAAATGCCTGTTTTCCAGGCTCTCGGAGTACCCGTTCACAGGCTTGCACAGGCTGCTGATTCGGTCACAGTACGCTCAATATTATTCGTCTTACACGTTAATTTAATTCGACTTCTTCTCAATGATTTGCCCTTTATGTACTGTTTTCGATATGTGATGTAGGCTTGCCTGTCAAAAGGTCTTGGTGCTCCAGCTGGCACTATCATTGCAGGTTCAGAAACTTTCATTGCCAAGGTATACATGCTGTGGCTAATTTGCGTGTTTTTCGTTGGGAACCA